GGACCACTCATATTACATTCAGCCTGTGTGTACTTGTCGTGAGTTAACTGATCTGCTTATCTGTATGTCACAGGGTGACTCTCCTCACGACGTTATTCTCTCCAATCAGGTTCCCTGTTTTCTCCTGACACACCTTCTGTCTCCTGTGCAGTCGCTCAGCTCTCAGTGAGTCAGTCGAGGTTGTGAAATCTCCACTTTCCATTATTGGGGGGAAAATGACGCAGTAACAATTTCTGGTGAGTACACCCAAGATAAATGCAAACAAATAAAAATTCAGTATGATGAGTTTAGAAACAGCTTAATAGTTTGATGCAGTACGGTTAAACAGTCCTCAGTGTTCAGTTTTTGTTGCAATGAATACCTGTTGACTTTATTCTGTGTCTGTACTTCATGGTGCCGGTATGAGTGTATAAGAAACACCTGACATTAAAGTGCTGCAACATAATGACAAACCACAGCCACGAGAATTACTTCAGACTTGAATCAACACATTTGTGTCGGCTGTAGATCAGGAGTTAGAGCGGGTCGTCCACTAATCAGAAGGTCGGTGGTTTGATCTTCCTGTCAAACTTCTGGAAGTGTCTTTGACCAAGACACTGAACCACTGTGATGTTCCAGTGTATGAATGTCTGTGTGTGAATGTGGCTTGTAGTGTAAAGCGCCTGAGTGGTTGATAAGACTAGAAAAGCTCTTCATAACTTGAATCTATTTACATTCATTGTTAAAGAGATAAAATTTCAGTTTACAGGACTATTGGGTTTCTATACTGTATGTCTGGTCACTCAGGTATCTGTTGTTATGAGTGTTACACTGTTCTCTTGTCTATTGATTTTAAACAATCTTTGTGTGGGTCTTGACCATCCAGGCCTGGTCATCAGATGGACCAGGCACAGAAGATTTAAATACCACCATAACTTTCAACATCTTCTCACTTTTAAATAAAACTCTACTGTGGACCAAATGTTCAAGATAACAGCATTAACCTCATGTATGTGCAGAAAGGAATCAGTTTTAAAGAAGCTGTTTTCTATTCTCTACTTAGGTTATTCAACTCATTAAATTTAAAGATAAGAGAATCACTTTATCAGGGTCCAGAGTCCAAAATAAAGGCCAATAAGGAAGCAAAATCCTGTATAACTGTAGTGATTATGTTCTTTGTAGTCCAACTATTAGATTATAGAACTGGACAGTAACTTTTTAGTTCAGGGTGTGTTTGCTAAGGAAAGGTTAAAGTATTGATAAGAACCTGAATGAGGAACACCTAAGTGCTGTCCAGGTGTACCAGCTACTGAACCTCCTACTCTGGCTCAGTCGTCACCTGCTGAAGAATGTAATTGCACTGCAGAGTGAAAACAGAGTAAGTGTGAAACTGAATGTGAAGCAGGACAGAGGTGGAAAAGTCTCAGACAATTTGATTTCTACACTTCCTAATGTTCGTAACATATATTTATCTTGTATATCTCTCCTGGCCTTTAAATAACACATTTTAATTCAACAAGCATTAAGAGGTTTTTTTAATTTGTAATTTGCTTTGTGTTTCAGCTTTAGTTGAACCTCTCTCCTGAGGAGTGACAGTATGGCTGAAGCTTCTGGTGAGTCGGGCTTTATATTACAAATATGATAAGTTTGTACCCTGGACATGATCCAGCTAAACTTGGCAGCAACAGACACACGTCAATAAAACAGACCTTTCACCTGAAGTTTAACAGTAAATTGAACCTTTGAACAAGACAAACATTTCATGTTGGGATGTTCATCACCCACTGACTCCAAAGTATAAAATAATATTCTGACACTGATGTGGCCTTTTACAACATTCATATTAAGTTCAGATCTTGATCCACATTTTGCATTTAGGATAAACACAAGAAGCTTGTGCTGTAAAAACTGGACCAGACTCAGTGAATAACTCCCTAAGCCCTATGATAACTATTAATTCAGCTACACAGACTAATGAGCAGGGATAACTAACATGTCTTTGGGGTCATCAGGTGGGAACCTCCTTTCACCAGTGTTTCGTCTAGTTGGTCCCACGACACCTCCAGGAGGCTAGACAGTGATCACTGGCGTCCCAGAGTCACTCCCCTAATGCCAGCCATCACTGCTCCTCACACCACAACTATTTTCTCCTTTACCTTGCCTATGCTACCACACACAACATTATCAACTAGGACAAAACACACCAGCAGATTCAGCAAACAAACTCCCCTAACCAGTTGGAGAAAATGGCGGCCATTTTGAATGAGGGAGGTAGAGTCAGGGAGAGGTGCCTGTTTGGGCTAGCTCTCCCCGGCCGGGTTTAGGCTGTGCTCTACTTCCCCCTACTCCCCCACTCTCCAACAACTCACCTAAAACAAACAAACTCGCCTAGACAGTCAGAGACACACTACAGACCAATTCAGAGCAATACAAACAAACCAACTCACCTGAACTAACCACATGGTCTCAAAGAGGCTCACACAGGCCACACCCTCCACTTAAAAACACTTCCTCTTCCTGGATTTTCGTCCTTGCTTCTCCTAAGAGCCTGTCTATCCTAAGTGCTCCCCCTGCTGGGCCCCCAGCTACCATTACTTCTTCTAATCCAAATCCACTGACTGGATCTTGCTGCCTCATCTGACATGTCTTTTACTATTTTCCTCACACTCTGTCCACTTGCTCCTAGCTCCCTTACCAAAGAGACAACAGACCTTGCTACAAATCCTCTACATCCTACTTCTACTGGACAAATCCTAACTTTCCATCCTCGCTGCTCTGCTTCTGCCCCTAACTCTACATACCTGAGCTTTTTCCTTTCATATGCTTCTTCAACTGAAGCCTCCCATGGAACAGTCAGCTCTATGAAATATACTTTCATTCTACTCCTAGACCACAAGACTATGTCAGGCCTTAACTTTGTACTGGCTATTTCCTGGGGAACAACAAGCTTTCCTCCTAAATCTACCTGCATTTCCCAATCACAAGCATCCTCTAAGCTGCCTTGCCTCCTTGCTGTCTTACCAACTTTCTCTCCCTCTTGAACAAACTTTATTGCAACTCTCTTTGTTTTAGACCCTCCTAAATTTGCCTGCCTCCGTAGGTCTTCTATTCCTGCAGCTAAGCTTTTTAAAACCTGGTTATGTCGCCACGTGTACCGGCCTTGCGACAGACTAACCTTACAGCCTGACAAAATGTGCTTTAGAGTTGCAGTACCTGAACACAATGCACATAGCGGGTCTCCATTTACCCAGAGTTTTAGGTTCTGGGGAGTTGGCAATACATCATATGTTGCCCCTATCAAGAATCTAATGCTACTTTCCTCCATACTCCACAGCTCTTTCCAGCTAAGCTTTTTCTTATCTACACCTTCCCAATTTAACCACTGTCCCTGCTTAGCCTGAGCCACTGCCTTTGCACCCCTTAATATCTCCTCCTGTCTACGAACCTGTTCCACCACTAGCTTTCTCTTTTCCTTGGGACCTGCTCTACTCCACACCGGTTTGCCTGGGCCAAGCCCCAAGCCTCCCCGGCCTATTTGGACATTACCCACAATCTCTGTATGCCTGAGCGTTGCTTCTGCCTCCTGCACTGCCATTCTTGGATTCCACTTTCTCCCCTTGATTGGGTTTGGAACCACCTTACTGACTACCACATCTTTACTCCCAGATAACAGGAGCTCTGTCCTAACCTTAGTACATTTAAACTCCTCCACTAGACTAGTTACTGGGAGCTGAAGTATGCCTTTCCCATACAGTGCCACCGTACTTAAGCATCTAGGAACACCTAGCCACTTCCTAATGTAAAAGCTAACTAATCTTTCCATTTTTTCTGCAGCAGATAATGGAATCTCATAAACAGACATTGGCCACATCAGTCTGGGAAATAATCCGAACTGCAAACACCACAACTTCAATTTTCCTGGAAGCCCTGATTTATCTATTCTATCCAGTCCCTCGGCAACATCTTTCCGAAACTGCACTACCTGTTCTCCGTCCTTCAAGTCTGCCTTGTACCACCTACCTAGACTCTTTACTGATTTTTCCCTAATTATTGGAATTTCCTCTTCGTCTATTACAAACTTCCTATCACTTAGCTTCCCTCTACTTAATGAGATACTTCTAGACTTACTAGGCTTAATTTTCATACTAGCCCACTTTAAGTTTTTATTAAGTCTCTCAAGTACTCTTTTCATACATGGCACCGTTGTAGTTATCAACGTCATGTCATCCATGTAGGCCCTAATTGGTGTAAGGCGCATCCCATCCTGCCGCCTCTCTCCACCTACAACCCACTTAGAAGCTCTAATGATTACCTCCATCGCCATTGTGAATGCCAATGGAGAAATCGTGCACCCTGCCATAATGCCTATTTCTAGCCTCTGCCACCCTGTCGTAAAGCCTGCTGTACTTACGCATAGTTTAATGTCTTGGAAATACGACCTTACTAAATTAACCACTACTCCAGGCACTCTAAAATAATCAAACGCCTCCCAAATAAGGCTATGTGGCACTGAACCAAACGCATTTGCTAGATCCAAAAATATGACATGCAAGTCTCTTTTCTCTGTCTTGGCTGCCTGAATCTGATGCCAAATCATGCTAGTGTGCTCTATACACCCTGCGAAACCTGGTATTCCTGCCTTCTGTACTGCAGTATCTATTAGGCTATTCCTTTCTAAATAACTAGCTAATCTCCGTGCGACTATGCTAAAGAAGATCTTCCCCTCCACATTAAGTAGCGAGATCATGCGAAACTGACTCAGGTCTGAGGATTCCTTCTCCTTAGGAATAAAAACACCTCCTGCCCTACGCCATGCTCTAGGAATAACCTGTTTCTCCCAAACTATTCTTAATTGCCTCCACAAAAACTTTAGGATATCAGGTGCGCTTTTATAAACCCGGTAGGGGACTCCATTTGGCCCTGGGGCCGAAGAAGCCTTTGCACGCCTGACTACCTCCTCAACCTCCTTCCACCTGGGTGGTCTAACATCCATCTCATGAACTATCTGTCCTAATGGTGGCATGTCAGGTGGGAGGCCTACTACTTTATTCTGCTCTAAGTCTGAATACGTGTTTCTTAAATACTTTTGCACTTCTTTGTTGCTTTAAGCTGCCCTCCCTTTTCCTGGTTAAACAATCCTTTAACAAACTTGAAGGGGTCCCTGTAAAACGCTGTCCTTACATATTCTTTCTTCTTTTATTAATTGTTTTTATGAATGACTTTGTTCCTCTGTCTGTCTTTACAGGCACAGATGTGTCCCTGAAGCGCAGCAGCAGCTATGGATATCTGCCACCTTACAGTGAGTTTCAGCTGAACTGAGTCTGAATTTCTCTGGTGTTTCATAGGACCTCAGTCTTTATTCATTAAACATCTCAAATAACTTCTAATAATCACACTGAAAGTTCTGGTGTTGATCCAGACCTGTTTGGAGGCACCTGTGAGGGTCTTGTGTGGTGGTAACCCACCCACTCATCAGTGTTGAGGTGTCCTAACTGTGCTGGAGCTCTCGCTGTCATTTCTTCACAGTTTTGCATTTCAACACAAAGTGAGAAGTGAGACCTGTTTTTCTGTGGATTGTTTTGTTATAAGGAGAAAGGTAGACAGGACGTCTGGCTGCCTGACTTTCTCCTCTCAACTTAAAAACAGGGAGAAGATTGTCTGACTCATCTGTTCACAGACTCTGGTGTCCTGGGGATTGTAGTTTCTGGGTGATGGCACCATATGAATACTATGCCCATCACACTTGATCTTTGTCTTGGAACAGATTAATGTTGAATATTATAAAATCCAAAATGCTCCTAAATGTTTTCCTTCATTAGAAATAAAGTCTAGATGAACTAGCGTGTTCACAGTCTAATTAATAATAAATGTTTGGGGAAAAGTTAATGTTCGAACTGTAGCGACCTGTTTGAATTTAAATTTCCAGCCTATAAGCACAGATGGTTTGAAGCAGTTTACCTTGTGATCCAACAGAGGGCGCTCTAAACATTCACTAACAGCTGGACCTGTGACCTGATGACCTTTCAGTAAACTAAGCAGCTAGTAATGTTGTGTTATTTGCTGTAAAAATGGAGGAAACGTCAAGTGCAACCTTATCTGACCGCCTGTTATTCTGCACACTGCACACCTGATTTATATGTAAGGATATGTGGGGTTGTGCATGTTGTAATTCATTTGATTGAATTGTGTATTATCATTCTTAAAGACTGACTGACATGTGATGTGCATTATTTTAGGATTCAAGTTTTTCACGTCTGATGTTAAAAAAGTGAACAAAAGCTGCAATAAATGGAAATATTGAACTGCAATACTTTTGACATTGTAATAATTAAAAATCACAATACTCTAAGTATTGTAGTGTCAAATAATTTATATTAAGTGTCATATAGCGAGATGAACATGTCGTCCCAGCCCAAACAAATACATTATATTCTATAATTTACACATTTTACAGGTCACTGACCTCTGGTTTGAGTTCACCTTCTTGACTTAAATATACACGTAGCTGACTTTTGTTTTTCGTTTCAGTGTCTGAGCTGAGGGTTGTTCTGCTGGGGAACAGCTGGTCAGAGAGGAGTTCAGTGGGGAACCTCATACTGGGAAAGACTGTGTTCAACAAAGCACCTGAATGCTGTGTGAAGATCAGTGGACCAGTGGAGGAGAAGAAAATAGTTGTCATCAACACCCCAGATCTGCTGGATCCCAACATCTCTGAACACAAACTGACAGAGTTTATACAAGACTGTGTGAGACTCTCTGATCCTGGACCTCATGTGTTCCTGCTGGTTCTACAGCCTGAAGACTTCACTGAGGAACAGAAACTGAAGCTCTGCAGAGTCCTTCAACTCTTCAGTGATCGATCATTTGATCATTCACTGGTTCTGATATCAACACCCAGAGAGGAGAGTTCAGGTTTGATGGAAAACTCACCATTAAAAGACATGATCGTAAAATGTAGATACAGATACCTGACGCAGAAGAACCTGGACCGTGCAGAGCTGTTAACACGGTTGGGTCAAACTGCAAAGGAGAACAATGGAGAACATGTTTGTCATGAAAGATTTGAGGAACCAGAAGAAACTTTACCAGGTGATCATCAGAACCCAAAACAACAGAGAACAACAACTTCTATCACAGATGCTGTTAAAGCTGCTGGTGAGTGAAAAAGTTCTAACAATGAAATGTAAATGTTCAGGCAAATCCTCCTTTATTAAATTAAAACATAAAGCTGCAAATTAATTCTGTCATCTATTCACAGGGCTGCATGAGTTTAAACAAATGACTCCACAGCTCTCACACTGTGAGAAAAACCCTCTGTCTTACAGTAAGTAAAGACGTAACAATGCTAATCATTAATATGCTGATAGATTTTTAAGTGGCGTTCATGACATCCTGACTCAGTCTCCAGTAAATCATACTGTTCAATCATCTGTGCAATCCTCAAGATTGTGTTGTTCTCTCTTTATTGTGTTGCAGCTTCTGTCCTCAGGATTGTACTGCTGGGGAAAAGTGACGACAAAAAGACAAAACTTGGGAACTTGATCATTGGAAACCAAGTTTTTCATTCCCAAAAACAAATCAGGCAGTGTGTTGCCTCCTGTGGAGAGTGGAGAGGAAAACCATTAACAGTGGTGAAAGCTCCAGACATGTTCAGTCTGTCTGTGGAGACACTGATAGAAGAGGTGAAGAAGTGTGAGACTCTTTGTTCTCCTGGACCAAATGTTCTGCTGCTGTTAGTGAAACCTTCTGATTTCACTGAGGAGAACAGACGAACACTGAAGTTCATCCTGAGTCTGTTTGGTCCAGATGCTTTTAAACACTCGATGGTCGTCATGACAGAGAAGAAGAGAGGAACACCATCCACTGTCGACCAGCTGCTTCGAGACTGTGGAGGAAGACTCTTCAACATGTTTGAAGATAAACACCAACTGTTGATGGAGAAGATTGAGAACATTGTGCGTGAAAACAAAGAAACCTTCCTCACCTTCTCTGAAGAGCCTGAACACATGAAACCAGCTTTAAACCTGGTTCTGTGTGGGAGGAGAGGAGCAGGGAAGACTTCAGCAGCCGAGGCCATTTTAGGTCAGACAGAGCTTCATTCAGTCTCCAGCTCATCAGAGTGTGTTAAACATCAGGGAGAGGTGAGAGGACGTCAGGTTTCCCTGGTGCAGCTTCCTGCCTTGTATGGAAAACCTCAGGAGGAAGTGATGGAGGAATCACTCAGGTGTATCTCCCTCTGTGATCCTGAGGGCGTCCATGCCTTCATCCTGGTCCTACCTGTGGGTCCCCTCACTGATGAAGACAAGGGAGAGTTAGAGACCATCCAGAACTCATTCAGCTCTCCAGTCAATGACTTCACCATGATTCTGTTCA